CCCCGCATGCAGCAACGGGAGAAAGTCCCCATTTTTTGTTGTATGGGCATGATCCGGTATATCCTTCAATGTCAATACCTTCGGAACACCTATCGCCTTACATCGTGGACTACGATACCTACAAGACAGAACTGCTTTGCGGACTCAAATTAGCGCAAGAATGCATCAGTGAAAACGCGAAGAGTATTGTGACAAGATGAAACTAGCTTATGACAGAAGGTACAAAACAGCTCGCTCTTCGGTAGTTTTCAGGACAGGTGATAGAGTTTATATGAAGCTTCCTGCCGAGAAAGGCAAATCGCGGCATCCCAAATTAGCAACTGAGTGGTCCCATTCAGGGTAATTGAAGCCAGCGCTAACTCAGCATTGGTCACTTTGATCGGTGTAAATGAAGAGCCGGTTAGGGTTCATTTGACCATTTGATTAAAGTACCTAAGGAAATAGGTAATGACAGAATCATAGGGACCACAGCACGTGCAAAACGTGGTAGAAGAAAGAAAAATTCAAACTTCAGTAATGTACTATCTATTCAAAAATTTCATTTCAGCGCACCATTATCGTCCGAAGACAACGTTCGCCATGTAGATTGGAGATGTCCGAGGAAGCTTGGAGGTCAGCGGACAACGAGTGCATTGCTATTTGGAGTCGTCCGTTTTTTGGATACCGTGTTACGATCTGATTACACCAATCTCTTTGGTTTGGTCATGTCCTTTTATCGCAGTCGTTGCATCCACACTGCTCTGGCGAGCGTGGCTGATGCCACCACACCAACGGCGGGTTTTCCCCCTCGCAGTACCATGGATCCCTATCATCTGCCAAGGATGTACACAGAAGCGCTGCAGATAGCTAACGCGCATCCCTGGACCGGCAACAGTGCTGTGAAACCACGTTGTACACTCCTTAATCCTACCAGAAGGATTCTAGGATGTATTAGGTGATTTCGAAACGGCCACAACAACTGCGAGTCAGTTTGCACTATACAGGAACTCGAACCCATCTGGTTAGAAGAATCATCATGTTCTGTTCAGCTCACTACAGCAAGCCAATGCAATGGAAGAGCGCATGGTATTTACTGATGAAAGCCGTCTCTGGAGGTGCAGAACTTATTGCAATTGCGGGACCACAAGGACGATGCAGACTGAGGCAGAAGCGTCGAAGTTCTTCTGGATTTTATCGAAGAAACTTCTGCCCAGAGACCGACTCTTAGTGCGCATTACCTTGAAAAAAAAGAAATTGTATGGTATAGTGAAAATCAGGGAGAAAATGGCTAAATAGGCTGGAAACAGCTGATCGCTGCGGTCGTGACGCGCCGCAGCCGCGTCTGCGACCCTTTGACCGCCTAATCAACTGCCCGGAATCGACTGTATTCACTGCTTGCCGATCCTCTGATCCGTCAGGGTCGCAGACACTGAACAATGCCTCATTTCTGGAATCAATAAGTATCTTATGCTTTTCTTCAATTCTACATTTCATTTCTGCATTTCTTTATACGCATCTATAGCTTGTTCGTTATTTCTTGAATTCTGTGTTCCTTCATTTCTGCATTTCTTCAAACGAGTACGTGTCTAATGCTTCCCTTCCACATTTCTTCGATTCTGCGTTATCCATTTCGTCACTGTCGCAAGCTATGAATGCGGCCTAATGGAGGAACAGAAAAACCACGGCGATTGGAAAAAAAACCAACAACCTAGACGTAAAGAATAAACATGCTTCCAAGACTTTATTTTCTGAGTGGTGCAGCCGTTTGTGGGCGAGTCGGTTTCAGTGGGAGTGCGTGCCGAGTTGTTAGGTCTTGCTGCGTGGGGCTTGTTCAACACGGTTTCTCCTATGCTAGACGTATCTCTTTCTTATGCTTCGTGCTCTTCGCAATCGTTTAGTCGAATCACACTACCGGAAAAGTCTGGAACAGGAGAAAGCCGTGCTCACTGACGATTTGCTGGATTTTACGACAATTGCATATGGATGTCTTGCCTTCAGACTAACTACAACCGTAAAAAATGATTCCTAAAATTTAGTTGATTGATTGCATCGTTTGAGGGATTGCGATGTGACATGCCGCTCCCACGTTTGCGATGCGTTCTCCTTTTATTTTGGAGGGCTCTGGGAAGAATAGAGGACTATGCGGGACACTCTGGATGAGCAGATACGCAAATTATCTGCGCAGAAAAAGCAGAATATACTCGAAACTGTCCAAGGGACAGTGGAGATCGCTAGGGAAAAAGCTCGGCTAGCTATTGGCCGAGCAGCTCATACTATTTTCGAGGAAATCTCGATAACTCCAGAAGAATTGCGCAAAATTCTGCCAATTGCGAGTTACAATAGTAGTATGATGCAGAGCCTAGCGGAGGAATTCGGCTGCGAAATTCCAGAGGTCTCGGCAACTGTAAGAGCTCAATGTTCAGAGTTGGATAGGCTCCGATCACTAACAAGTGATCAAGAAAAGAGCATCCAGTGCCTGATAGATAAAAATTGTCAGTTGCAGAGCCAAGTAGACGAACTCACGGCGAGGCTGGCGACGTCCTTGAATCAAGTACGCCCAGATATGCAAGCTCAAGGTGAGAAAAACAATTGTGTGGATTGGTCGGCTGTTAGTCAACAGCTTCTATCACTGAAACGTGGGAATAAGACCGATTTCCAGAGCCGACAGCCCGTGACCAGGAACGAACGTTGGGACAGCGAGGCGCCAGAGGTCAATCTCCAGCGGACGATCGAGTCCATCCTGTCGGCAGTCTTCCAACGCATCGACAGTCGGTGAGTCGAGTTCTGTCTTTCAAAACTCGCACAACTCTGAGGCTAGTCATATCTCCCATGCCATGAACGGGATGTTCAGTGTATTTAAAGAGGTTTTCAAAGGCCCAAAGCATAGCAGAAGTCCCCAAATATGATGGGAAGGGTTCCCTCAGTGACTTTTTGCGAGCACTGGAAATGAAGTATCCCATGACAGTTTGGTCGGACAGAGATAGGCGTGATGTGTTGGTAAACCATCTGATTGGATCGGCGCGATCAGTGTATAAAGGGCTTCCAGAAAGCGTTAAAAAGGGTGATTTTGCCGGAATAGTGCAGGCGCTTAAGGATTCGCGGCGTAACCCTTGCGAGAAGCTCAAAGTGATTGATGAATGGGATAGGCTTAGGATGAGAAGCCATGAATCGGTAGGAGATTTCTGCTGTCGCATGGAGGATATCTCCCGGAAGATTCATCCCGAGTACTGAATGGGACTTTCCATTTAGCCTCAAAATTATACTCATGCCTGCAACGCTGGAAAGACTCATAGGCGCTGTTTATCGACGGGGGGGGGCATTTTGTATTATAATTGCTTCCCTGGTTCCGGTTTACAAATCTCACTCTGGTAAAACTTGTGAACGCTTGTGAAGCTGGAGCAAGATCGTCTAGCCACCATCCTAAAACGTGTCATATCGGCCACCATCCTAAAACGTGTCATACTCGAAAAAAGGGTACCTAGATGGGTTGGCAAATCTATGAAAAGCAGAATGCCCCCCGTCGATAAACAGCGCCGGATTCATACCACATGTTAGCGGCTTTAGAGGCGCAAGATGGGGAGGCATATGATGCTGTTAAAAAGATTGCACTGAGACTTGGGAAGACTCAGCCAGCACGAAAGGACGAACATAATGGGAAGTTCAAACCCTTCAAAAAGAGGATATTCGCTGAGAAAGCGGCAACCTCCGGCAATGAAGATCGGGTTTTGCAGAAATGCTTTAACTGTGGCGGAACTGGTCACTATAGCACCTCTTGTCCTGATAAATCGATACCAAAAGATCACCCTTCAGGCGGAAAAGGCCAAGGGTCAAGTAGAAACACCAAGGATGAGCGTGCCTTCAGGAAATCATTATCCACTTTCGAAGAGGATGGTTCGCAGCCAAAAGTTGGCGGTAGAATCGGGCACCGTAGCGGTTGGGAAACCAACGCTATACGACGCGAAAATCTTCGGAATCGAAGTAAGAGCATTGATAGATACTGGTTCAGTGATCTCCATATTACCAGCTGGTCTCCTCAAACAAGCTAAAAGCAGGGGCTTTGACATAGACAGCGAAGTAGAACTGGTAAGCAACGGTTGCGAACATAAGGTGTTCGACGCGTCAGGCAACCAAATGGAGTTCCTTGCCAATAGTGAACGCTTAAATAATCATAGAGGGAGTTGATAAACTTCGAGTAGCCATGCATGTCCAGAAAAGCAAGCACCCTTCTCTTAGGAACGAACGTTCCTAAATGCGTTGGGGATCCAACTCAGATTTGAGTGCAACAGAGACCCCCGCGGAGTGCGACCAGTACACCGGAACATGCAAAGGCCCAAGAGAGTCTGGTCAAAGGATATTTTGGTCCACGGGACCCTTGTGTGACCTCAGGCGTGTGCTTGTTGAGAGAGGGGAATACGGCTATTTCGGTAGCGAATCGTAACTCTCAGACATGGGTAATCAATAAGGGTGAGCCCCTTGGAGAATGGTCGGATGATGGTTCCATTATCCCGCCTAAGTCATGTCAAGACGTGTCAGGTGGTATGCTTGACATGGAAAGACATGTAGCTCTTCCAAAATCAAAACGGATGAAAGTTTTGATCGATATACTGCAGCAGAATCATAGCACAGGAAAACTGTCAGATGAACTTGTTAGCGTCCTAGAAAAGTTTGGTGAAACTTTTGCAATGACTGATAGTGAGCTTGAGCATACTAGTCTGATAAGACATGATATTGATGTGCAGAGACACCTACCGTGCACAGACACCCTACGAAAACGAGGCCTGTTCCCTTTGTTGTTCGAAAGCATGCGGATGACATGCTCTCAGATCTGAAAGATCGGAAAATAATTGAGAATAGCCAGTCACCCTGGGCTTCTCCAATTGTCTTGGTTGCTAAAAAAGATGGTAGTACACGGTTGTGTGTTGATTACCGGGAAGTCAATAAAGCAACAAAAAAGGACTGTTATCCTTTGCCACCCATAGATGTGACATTGCAGAGTTTGCAGGGAAAAGAATGGTTCTCTAATGCCGGCTTCTTTGTGATCTTATAAAGGACCAGAAGTCTCAGTTTATTTGGATGATATCCTTATCGCCACCGAAAGTGAAAAGCGCCATTTAGAAGTGTTGGAGCAAACACTTGAAGCGTTCCGGAAGGCAAATTTGAAGGTGAAACCTCAAAAATGCCGCCTGATGGAAAATAGCCTGGAATTTTTAGGCCACGTGGTGGATAAGGATGGTATAAGAACGAACCCTGACAAGGTTCGCAACATCCGGGAATACCCTGTACCGGAAAATAACGTTCCTAGGAATAGCCGGGTACTATCGCAAGTTCATTTTGAGATACGCGGAAATCGCTAAGCCATTGTACGAGCTAACGAGCCCTAAAAATAAGTTCATCTGGTCAGAAGAACAGAGTAAGGCATTCGAAAAGCTGAAAGACGCGCTATCAAATGCCCCAGTGCTAGGTCAGCCTAACATCGAAAAAGCGTTGGATCAGACCCGACCTTTTATAATCTACACGGACGCGAGTAGAATAGGAGTTGGAGCGGTTTTGGCTCAAGAAGGAGATGATGGGTTCATTCATCCACTTTTCTTTGCTTCAAAATCGTTGTCCTCGGCGGAGCGCAACTACCACGTGACGGATCAGGAGGCTCTAGCGCTCATTTATAGCCTTAAGAAGTTTCATTACTTCATTTTTGGTATCCATACAATAGTGCGCACGGATCACGCCGCGCTGACATCGCTATTCAAAAGAGTCCACGTTACCCCTCGCGTTTTGCGCTGGGCGCTGGAAGTGCAGCGGTATGATTTGAGCATTGAGCATGTAAAGGGTGCGGCGAATTGCGTGGCAGACGCACTATCACGGGGTCCAGTAGTCCGGAAAAACCCATCCGTTCGGATTGCAGACGAGAGAGTGGTGTGTGCAAGAGGACAGCTGGCTGAGCTAGTTGCGAGGAAACCCAGATTTCAGCTTGGTAATTCAAGCGGTAGAGAATAGAAGAGAAGAGGAGGTAAGACTCCCTAAATACGGACGGAAGTTGAGTTCCCTTGATTTCGTGATTGAAA